ATCACCACCATTCATATTTCTCCATTAGGAGGCAGATTTGCAGGTAATTAAGCAGGTGGCTTCTCTATTCCTCTCTAACCATCTGGAAAGTTCTCCAATGGCTGACCTCCGAGTTACACCTGAGGGTGGGGCACTCTGGGGAGGTTGCCCACCTCTATGTAGTGGCCTTGTTTTTTCTGACCTCCTCACTCAGCTACTAGGTCAGTTGGATTTAAAAGCTGATCACAGCGGCTGGGGTTGTGGCTCAGCGATAGAGCACTCGCCTCACCCGTGCAAGGGACTGGGTTCATGCAAGGGCCTGGATTCGATCCTCAGCACCACATAAAAAAATAAATAAATAAATATGAAGGTATTGTGTCCAACTACAACTAAAAAATAAATATTAAATAAATAAAAGCTGATCACAGGCTTGAGAGGTAGAAGAGCTTCCGGGGAAACTGTGGTTCTCCATCCAAATGCTCGAATTTTTTTAAAAAAGGTCAAGTACTTCCTTGAGCTGCAGGAGAGAAAGAACCTAGTTTTTAACTTATTAAAAAAATTTTTTTCTAGTAATAAGGCATGAAGAGCCAATTATTATTAATTTGAGTTGAATAAAATATCCTTGCTAAAAATAACAAAAGAACAACCCCATTAAAAATGGGCAAAGGCCTTGAATGTACATTCTCCAAAGAATCGTAGCAAATGAATAATGAAAACACATGAAAAGATGCTCAACATCATGGATCATTGGGAAATGCAAATCAAAACCTCCATGAGACCACTTCACACCCATTAGAATAGCTTCTATTTAAAGAGAAGAAAGCAAAGGGGAAGGAAGTATGGGTTGGTGATGGGGAGAAATTGGAACCCTGTACGGGGCTGGGGAGATGTAAAATGAGGCAGCTGCCGTGGAAAACTCTGGCAGCTCTTCAAGATGTTAAACATAGAATTACCATATGATCCCGCAATTTCCACTTCTGGGTGTACACCCAAAGCAGGGACTCAAACAATTATGTATGCACCCAAGGGCCAAGCAGCATTATTTACAACAGCCAAAAGATGCAAGCAACCCAAGTATCCATAGATAGAGGTAGATAAATGCACATTGGTACACACACGTGGTAGTCTATTTATTCAGCCTTAAAAAAAGAATGAAATTCTGTCACATACAATAAGAGGGATGAACTTTGAGGACATCATGCTCACTGAAATAAGCCAGTCACAAAAGGACAAATGTGGTGTAATTCCACTTATGTCAAGTTCTAGGTTAGTCAAAAGCACAGAGACAGAAAGTAGAAGGGTGCTTGCCAAGGGCTGGCTGGAGGGGGAACGGGGAGTTGGCGTTTTATTGGAGTTTGGGTTTGGGAAGATGAAAGTCCTGGAAATGAATGTTGGTGATGGTTGAACAGTAATAGGAATGTACTTGATATCACCGGACACTGGAGGTGGTTAAAATGTCAAGCTTTATGTCCCACACACAAAAATCAAAAATGCAGAAAACGAAAGCAAAAAATTATTCTAGTGACTTTCCATGATGCTCCTCCTATTCACTGGTGAAGGCCCAACTGCTGAAGGGCTCCCTGGCGTTCACTTGCACCTTTGACTGCTCAACCTGGGAGCTCCCAACGTCAGCAGTGGAATCCCCCTCCCATGGATTTTAGGAACACCATCCTCACAGTTAAGGAGGAAATAATTGCAAGGGAGCAGTGTATGAAGCACTCACTGGGTTGGGGAAATGATTTGATGGGGTAACAGGGGAGACTATTGGTTAGGGAATGGTGTTCTAGTCAGCTTTTGTGTTCTTGTGACCAATATACCTGACAAGAACAACAAAGAGGAGGAAAAGTTTATTTGGGCTCACAGTTTTAGAAGTTCAGTCCATGGTGGGCCCAGTCCATAGCTCCGGGCCCAACGTGAGGCCTAATGACTTGCATCAGGCTTGGTGGAGGAAAGCAGCCAAGGAAAGACATAACAACCTGGAAGTCAAGAGAGAGCTCTGCTCACCAGCAATAAAACATACTCCCAAAGGCACACCCCCAGTGGCCTATGTCCTCCAGCCACACCTACCTGCCTACAGTTACCACCTTGTGAATCCCTGTCAGGGGACTGATCTTTCAGTTAGAGTACACCTCTCATAACATTCTTGCATTGTCTCACACATGAGCTTTTGGGGCACACCTCAAATCCAAACCATAACAAACGGAAAGCGAAAAAGGAGCAAAGATCAAGTGCACAGCCTCCAGGCCCTTCCCGGACTCTGTATCTCTCAGTGGCCCACATGGTTCTGGCTACAACGGATGGGGGGGGGGGCAGTGTTTGAATGAGGAGGAAAGGAAAGTTCTACTCACTCTTCAGACTTGCCAGACGAAGTTCCCCACTGTTATAAACAGTGTCGAGAAGCTAGTTCACCCTTAACCTGAGGCGGTACCGAAGGAATAAGAAACAGGTAGGCTTAAAGCAGATTTAAGAAAGGACACTTAATTACAAAGTGCTCTTAATTACACCCCCCCACACACACACACATTAAACAGATTAAGCATAAAGATGATATCTTGAGGGCTGGGGATGTGGCTCAAGCGGTAGGGTGCTCGCCTGGCATGTGTGTGGCCTGGGTTCGATCCTCAGCACCATAAACAAAGATGTTGTGTTTGTCAAAAAGCTAAAGAATAGGGCTGGGGATGTGGCTCAAGCGGTAGCACGCTCGCCTGGCATGCGTACGGCCCGAGTTGATCCTCAGCACCACATACCAACAAAGATGTTGTGTCTGCTGAGAACTAAAAAATAAATATTAAAAAAAAATTCTCTCTCTCTCTCCTCTCTCTCTCTCTCTTTAAGAAAAAAAATCCTCTCTCTCTTAAAAAAAAACAAAGATATCTTGAGGCACCCATAATTTATGGGATTTTCTAGTGTCTTTTTTTTTTTTCTTCTTTTTTTGGTACTGGGGAGTGAACCCACTTGACCACTGAGCCACATTCCCAGCATTTTTTTTTTAAGAGAGAGAGAGAGAGAATTTTTTTTTAATATTTATTTTTTAGTTTTCGGTGGACATAACATCTTTATTTTTATGTGACCTGAGGATTGAACCCAGCGCCCCGCGCATGCCAGGCGAGCGCACTACCGCTTGAGCCACATCCCCAGCCCCCGCCCCCTTTTTTTTTTGAGACAGGGTCTTAAACTTGTGATCCTCCTGCCTCAGCCTCTGGAGTTGCTGGGATTATGGCCATGCACCACCTCATCTGGCTCTTTCTGGTGCTATTGGTCAGATAAGAAAGACCATGTCAGCCTGAGGATCCTGAGAGTAACCAAACACCAGAAACTGTCTTGAGAGATCACCAGACTGATATCATTCTTACGTACCTTTCCATACCCACCCCTCACCAAATTTCCTTTAAAAGAAGATCTGGGAACCTCCAAAACACATCTCTCACTCTCGAGAAGACCCACATTCTCCTTTGAATATGTATTTTATTGCCTCACTCCCAAAGGAGTCTCTCTGTGAGATCGCCCTCATTCTCCCTTGGATTCTTTTCTAATGCACATGCCAAGAACCCTCTTCTCTCCAGGAACCCCTCAGACCCTTCTTCAGAGATATCTCTTCTCCCATGACAAACCCATCTGACCTCTGCTTATCCTCATGCTGTGACATCTCAACAGTGCTTATGTTCCTGTTGGATCAGGCTGGGGAGAGATGTGTTGGCGACTTCCCCCACCCCTGTTATAGTACCCTCACCTCTTTCAGCCTCCCTGATACCCTTCTCCCCTACGCCCTCTGTTTTCCCTGACTTCTCTGTGGCTCCCCTGATCCTCTGCCCTCTCTTCTGTTTACAGCACCACCTACTCACTTTCCTGGCTTGGTCCCCTGGGCTTCCCTTTCAGCTTGAGAGCTGGAGGACAGAATGTTCCCCTCTTCTCCAGGAGAGGCTGGGGCCTCTATCCACTCGGTCACCTGTGTCTCACTTATTTCCTCTCCCAGATTTCTTGGTGAAGGAAGGGCTCCTTTACCAAATTGTGGCTGACTCTTCTTAAATTTGCCCCAAGACTCCCCTAAGAATCTAAAATGTGCATCTAAAATGGTCATCGGGCATTCCTGTGGCAGCTAGAGACCCTATTGATAACAAAGAGGAAAGCTAACAGTGGGCCAGGAACTACTAATGATGATGACAAAAATAGCTGACCCAGGGCCGCTGCCCAGAAGTTTTCCAAGCAGGCTATCGCTGCGATTTGCCTGAACAACAACCAGCAAGCACAGGAACGGGCTGTGCTCACTTGCCTGCTTTAAGGATGCTTCTGGACAATTTGCTCCCACTATCTCATTAACGTCCACTGAGCGGCTGCTGAGGGCTCTGGCTTGGCCCCCTCTCAGTGAAGGAACTGAGAAGCAGCAGGCAGGGCTGCCTCCCAGTGGCCTGCCGTAGCCTGCTCCAGCTGCCACCCAGATCTCAGATGGCTCAGGCTGCCCCCATAGCCTGCCCTGGCCCTGCAGCTGGTGACTCAGCAGGGGAAGGGGGCGCACAGGGGTGGGAGGGAGGACTTAGGGCCTGAGGGGCCAGGCTTGGTGACATGTCCAAGCCAGGAAGCTGAGTCCCCAGAATCAGCTCAGCAGCAGAACTGTAATCTAATCAATTCACAGTAATTCCTTTAATGTCATCGAATCCTCCTGTGTGCTTCAGGCTCCCTAACATACAGCCCAAACCAAAGGCTAAGCGCCACAGCCAAAAGACCCCTTTCCCTTGTATGCTACTTGCACTCACCCCAAACCCAAGCAATGACACAGAAGCATCCAGAGCCACGTGGGTGGAGGTTTCTTTTATTCATTTTGATTTTGGTGAGGAAGGGCTACAAGGTGATGTCCATACATCAGGCACTGGAATGACCCTCTGCACACATAGAACACATGGACGCCAACTCCAGGGAGCTACTGAGGAGCAGATGAGCGCCACAAAGAGAAAGTCCCCACAGCTGCAAAAGCCCCCTCCCCCCATTTCTATTGGTTTCAAGACCCCCACCCCCACCCACCCCAGCTTGCCCTCCTCTTCTCCTAATCAGATCTTTCAGCAAAATGGGCTTTAATTCCTGTGGGGTTCAGAGCCCCACCCCCAATGCAAACATGCATCCCCTAGAGAGAAAGGGAAATCAACACAGCATGCTGGAAAGAAGACAACAGGCTTGGCTTTCTGTGACCCACCAGCTTGGGAGAAAGGATGCCTTCTCTAACACCAACCAGAGATGGGAAAGTGCATTTGGGCTGCGCCATCTTTCCTTTTCCCCAGGGCCCTGGGCGATGTGGCCCTGCTGCCCATCTGCTGGCCCTGTCTGATTTTAAACAAGTTCAGCTAGGAGCCTTCCACCTCTTCCCTTGGGAAAAAGACACATGGAAGCTAACACATGTAGGGCTCAACGGAACATTCAAACAAACATTTCCACCCCAAACCCTCATCCTGTTCCCCGCAATGGCATTTCTGAGGTCAGAAGTCCCCCAAGCTGACTCCAGTTCTCCCCAGCAATTGGTGGGCCCCATAGTATATTTAAGTGCAGCAACCCCTCACCCAGCCTCCCTGCCTCCCCGCAGGGTGGCCTTGGGTTTTTCTCTAGGTCTCCCCGTGGCTTGCTGTGGTGACCTGACTAGGAGGTATCTGGATGGCAGGAGAAGTGTCAGGTGCCTTTGCTTTCGGTCCTCTCCTCGTCAGCTGTCTGAGCATTGCTGACCGTGCGAAGCTGCCCCTGGGCAGCAGGCTTCACCGACAGGACCAGGCGCTTGCGAAATGTCTCGCAGAGCACAATGTACACAAAGGGGTTGAGGCAGCTGTTGGCGTAGCCCAAGCTGATGGCCGCGTTGTACAGGTAGACAAAGGTGAGAGTTGGGCGGCTGATGGATAACTGGGTCAGCTGCAGCACATAGTAGGGCGCCCAGCACACAAAGAAAACCAGGCAGATGGCGATGGCTGTGCGGGTCACCCTCTTTGTCCGCAGCCGGATACTGCGTTGAGAGGCAGGGGCCACCGAAGAGGTCATGCGCTGCAGGATCCTCACATAGGCAGCGGTGATGACCACAAAGGGCAGGGCAAAGGCCAAGAAAAACTGGTAGAGCGTGAACCAGTAGAGGTCAGTGTCTGGGTTGGGCAGGCGGATGCCACAGCCCACAGCACCCCCGGGGAAGGGGATGAGCCTGGCGTAGAGCCACACCGGGGTGATACTGATGAAAGAGAGGGCCCACAGGAGGCAGATCACCAGGGTAGCCACTGAGGGCTTCCGGAACTTGGTAGAAGAGATGGGGTGGACCGTGGCCAGGTAGCGGTCAATGGCCATGGCGGTCAGGATATAGGTGCTGGTGAACTGACTATTGGCGTCCATGGCTGTGATGAGGGTGCACATGGTCTCCCCAAAGTGCCAGACGCCATTGCCCATGAGCTGGTGGATCATGAAGGGCATGCCCAGGAGAAAGAGGAGATCCACCACAGAGAGGTTGATAATGAAGATATCGGGGACGTTGCTGCACCAGTGCAGCTTGGACTTCTTCACCACTGCAAAGATGACCGTGGAGTTCCCCACGATGCCCAGGAGGCAGATGGTGCCGAACACTGAAGGCATGATGATGTTGATGTAGGAGACCCTCCCCACGCGAGGAGGTGACACTGGGGACAGAAGGAGTAAGTGTTCCACGTGACATGGCCTCTGCTCCCGCTCCACCCCCAGTGGACTCTGGCTTCCCTTTCACCCTCCCCACTGTCTCAGCTCGGGGCCCACATTCATCTGGAACTCTCTCCCACCAGCCTTCCTCTCCACACTGTTGCTAATCCTGTCCCCTTGCTCTCCTCCACTGTTCCCTGGGAATCCTACCAGATTCTTCCAAGCCACTTGTGAGTTGAAAGACCCGATTCTTTGCCTCCTGTGTCTACTCTGAAGTCACAGAGTCAAGACCCACAACTGACTGATGGAGAATTAGTCTGTAGATGCCTGGGTTTCAACAGAAAATTTTGTCCAAAAAAAATAAATAAATAATCATCATGAGAGTATGTGTGTCTCTGTGTGTGTCTGTGTGTGCATGTATTGTCTATTTGCAACCCCTATCATTTCATCTCAGGGATTCCCTGGCTGGAGTCCGGGCACTAATTCCCGGGCATTGCTGTGGATGATGTCTCATGGAGCCTTTTGCTCACTGAGCCCAGGTCAGGTTTGCGGCCCTGGGAGCTCCAGACTCCTACCAGGAATTTCCTTGGCCAGTTCCCACACCAGCCTCAGCTTTCTGAGGCAGGCAGAGATGGAAGCTGAGTATTGCAACCCTGCAGCCTGAAAATTTCCTGCATTCAAACCCTTCTTCTTTTCCTTCCTTCCCTTCTCCTTCAAAGCTAGAATCCCAGGGCACTGCAGCTCTGGAAATGTCAGGAAGCTTAATTCACCAGAAAAGTTAATCCCCTCAAGCTCTGTGAAGTCTTCGCTTCCCACAGCTTCTGCCAGAGGGCAGTAAGTGCATCTCAGACCCCCTTACCCCAGTGCGAGTAAGAGGAGCCCCCAGTGAGGTGAGTGAGCCAGGCTCCTGCTGTCTCCCACGCTACCCAGCAGCTTCTCCGGCTTGCTTTTCCAGCCCAGATTTTTTTCTGCAAAGCGTATTGGAACTCATCAGCAAGGCTTCCCCTGCCTCCCTTACGGCTGGCCACCATCCCTTGCCACTTTTGAATGCGCCGCTGCCCTCTCCTCTGCTCCTGCCTCTTCTGCCCTGCCCACCTCTGTCCACTTCTCTCCTTCCCCTCCAGGCAAAGCCAACTGCAGAGCTTGTCTCCAAGAACTGTGATAAAGTTTCCCAAGCAGTTTGGCTCCTGGGTGAAACCTTCCCATTTCCCACCCCAGCCCATCAGGGGAAGGACTCCCCTCCCACTCCACTCACCGGCAGAGGTGAGGTTGTCAGGGCCCTCGGAAGCATTGCTGGCATTGGGGCCAGTGGGCAGCAACAAGGCGTGCAGGTCCATTCAGCTGGTGCGGGTCGCCTGCTCCCCTGAGTTGAGCTCCTGCCCACCCACGCAGGCTGCGGCAACCTCCAGTGCCTGCCCCCGCCTCGTCCCAGAGCAGAGCTGTGAACCCCGCAGTCTGGAAGGGGGTCTTCCTCCGCAGCCTGGCAGCCTCTGCTGCCTCCAAGCCCAACTGCTCTCCCCACTCCCTCCTTCCCGGCTCCCACTGACATCACCTAGACACATTAACATTCGGAGGCAGATGCACATTAACCTCTTCAGTCCCGGCTGCAGCTCCCGCTTCTGATTGCCTGCAGAGTGCAGGCACTGGGCTCAGGCGGCCCCATCAGGGAGGGGACTTCCTTCTCACTGGCTCTTGGGGCGGTCTTCTGTGCACACAGGGGCTGCTGCGGCTTGCCTTACATGAGGATCAAGGTCTCCTCAAAGGCAAGATGGTAAAAGCAAACAGGCTGCCTCCTTTGGGAGGCCAGGACAAACCTGGCAACCCCTGACCCCAGGTATAAGAAGTGGGGTCACATGCCAGGGGCCAGGGCAGGCTGTTCACAGAACTTGGGAATCAAAGGCATGTTTGCCCTCGTGCACACTGGAGGTCAGCCTGGGCTCCTTCCCTGTGCCTCGGTGGATTCCAAACCTCTCACTGGTGTGTTTGTAGGCATCCTTCAGAAGCTGAGGAGCTGTGGGCTGCCGAATGCCAGGGACTCAGGGGTGATTCAGGTCACTCCATGCTGGCAAGGGCCAGGGCCTCTGGAACCAGAAGAGACAAATTCCCATCTGCGCAGGATCAGCTGGGACTGAGTTTATAGATGTTTTATATTTGTAAATGCTCTGAGGTCTTTAAAGTTTTACCTGGGAATCCCCGAGACAAATATCAGAGCAATAAGAGCATAAGCCCCCCAGAGAGATTGTCAGTGAGGAACAGCCTCAAAGGGGGTAGGCACCAGTGAATTCCCTGCGGAGGCTGTCCTGCTGCATGCTTCAAGGATGTTCCCTCAAGATCTGCTGCCACATCACGACCAGACTCAGGGGCTGAGTCCTTAGTTACCACAATTGCTTGGTAACCCTCAGCAGTGTGCACAGAGGCACCAAGAGGCACCCCTGAATTCTAGACCTGTTCTTCCTTGCCCCCAATTGTGTAGCAGCACCCTAGTTCTTCACGCCAAGTAGAGTCGATCATCTTTACCAGTACACTCCCCCCGGTCTTAGCCTTCTGAGCTACCACATGAGGAGCCTAAATAAAACCCGATGATAGCTTACTTTCAGGTTCAGTGGAACCCTTAGCATGTTTCTAATGGAGTGCCCCTCCTCCCTGATGCCCTCTGATCCGAGTGTCCCTTACCGTGTTAGTGAAAGGGGTGTGCTCTGGGCTTCCTTGGAAAACTCAGTCAGCAGTTGGGCTCTGTGGTCTTAAGTAATAAATCCCATTCTAGCACTCCAACTTCCCTGGTCTTTTGACCTCTTTCTCAAAACTTCGCCAAGTAGCCAGGTACGAAGGTGCACACCTGTAATCCCAGCTACTTAGGAAGCTGAGGCAGGAGGATCACAAGTTCAAGGCCAGCCTAGGTGAATTAGCAAGACACTGTCTCAAAATAAAATTTTAAAAGGGTTAAGGATGTAGCTCAGTGGTAGAGAACTCCAGGGTTCAATCCCCAGTACTAAAAAAAAAAAAGAAAAGAAAAAAAAAGGTACAGAGTTTTGATTTGGAATAACAGAAAAATTCTAGAAATAGACAGTGGCAATGGTTGCACAACAGGTACATAAAAGCATTTAAGAGCCAGGTTTGTTGGCATTAAGTGCAAGCCCAGGGACTTGGGGAACTGAAACAGGAGGATTGAAAGTTTGAGACCAGCCTGGACAACTTAGCTAGACTCTGTCTCAAAATAAAACAAAAGGGACTCAGGGCGTATCTCAGTGGTAGAGAGCTTGCCTGGTATATGTGAATCCCCAGATTCCATTCACCATAGAAAACAAACCAACAAACAAAACCCCACCAAAAAAAAGAAAGAAAAGAAAAGAAAAGAAAAAGAAAGATTAAAGTGAACATTTTGATGTCCAATTACCACAATATAAAAAAATCATTATAAACCTTATGTATTTTTTTAAAGAGACAGTGAGAGAAGAGAGAGAGAGAGAGAGAATTTTTTTAATATTTATTTTTTAGTTCTCAGTGGACACAACATCTTTGTTGGTATGTGGTGCTGAGGATCGAACCCGGGCTGCACACATGCCAGGCGAGCGCGCTGCTGCTTGAGCCACATCCCCAGCCCCATATATTTTTTTATCATTCAAAAAAACCAAAAACTCTCTCAAGGCAGTCCCAGCACCCCCATCCTATTACTGTAGACCATTCCATAGAGCATGTCATGAAGCATGTTAAGTCTAGCTCTAGGTATCCTTCCAGAATGTTATACCCAGAAGAGTGCTTCCCTGTCAATTTGCACCATAGTCTAGCACCCTCACATTTATTGCTTTTGTTTCTTCCAGACCATATTAGCTGGGTCCTGGGGATTGACTATTTTCTCCAAAAGCAAAGACTGCTTTTCTTTCAGACTATACTGAGATCTGACTCTAGTCATTGAGTCCAAAGCAATGTGAGGACTCGGGGGTCATAGCTGAAGAAAACAGATATCCTCTTGCAAGGGTTCAATCTTATCCTAATTTCTGCACTGCTCTTCTACACAAGAGTAGGCTGGCAAGGGTTGCTTCTGCTAGCTTGGAATTTCAGGGGGTTCAGGGGTCTTTGGGAGTTTGATGTACCAGATGTCCCATCCTAAACCTCAGGGTTCCACTCTTTTTTCATCGGGGCCTTGACATTAGCATTAGAGATCTGTTAGGACTGCACACATTCTATCTTTCTTTGCAATTCTGCTACCCTTACAATTAGATTTTGGGTCTTATTTTCGGCACAGTCTGTCCTATCACTGTAGAAGATGAGGGTCTCTTTAATATATGTTTTGGAGGTCTTCTGGCTTTTATTGCTTTTATTAAATTGATTTTTGGCTATCTGCCTCTGACATTTTTTCTAGGCTTTCAAAGCATTGAATGAAAGTCAGCCAATTCAATTTACCATAGCTCCCACAATACTTTGTTTTGTTTTTTTCCAGTACTGGGGATTGAACCCAGGGGCTCTCTACCACTAAGCTACATCCCTAGTCCTTTTGTTATTTTTAGATGGGTACATTAGTCAGCTTTTCATCATCGTGACTAAAATACCTGACAAGAACAACTTAGAGGAGGAAGGATTCATTTTGGCACATGGTTTCAGAGAATTCATTCCATGGTCAGCCAACTCCATTGCTCTGGGCCTGAAATGAGGTAGCAGATCATGGCAGAAGGGCGTGGCAGAGGAAGCTGCCCAGCTCACGGCAGCTGGGAGGCAGAGGGAGAGAGAGGAAGGGACTGGGAGAAGAAAAACTCTTCAGGGGCACACCCCCAGTGACTTACTTCCTAGGTCCTACCTCCCGGGAGTCCATTCAATATCAACCTATCAGTTATTAATCCGTCCCTCTGATTGGTTATATCACTGATGAGTTCAGACCCCTCATAATCCAATCATTGCTCCACCTCTGAATTGCCGTGCATTGGGGACCATGCTTTCAACACACGAGTTTTGGGGGACATTCCAGATCCAAATCATAACACAGGGTTTCTCTAAGTTGCCCAGGCTGATCTTGAACTTGCCTTCCTCCTGCCTCAGCCTCCCCTAAAGGCATGTACCACTGCCACCAGCTATATACCATCCAAGTCCAGAGATACCACATACCTGGATGCTTTCTTTTTCAACCACACATCTTCCCTGTTGAAAGCAGGGAGAGTCTGTGCCATTGTGATGCTACTGCGTGCCAGGCCACCATTCTATCTACCACAAAGAACAGGGTCCTTCTGATTAGTCATGGGTGCTTTCCAGAATCTCATTCTGGGGGTCCTGTTTTTACTGTGACCTGGGTATCAATGTTCTTAGCTTGATTTTCTCTAAACACAGAGCCTGAGACAGGGAATGAGTCAGAGAAGAAGGAGAGTAAGTATATGAGTTCATTACCAATTTGTTCAGGCCTTTCTGAAGAGGGTAGTTTTGTTTGTTTTGAGACAAGGTTTCATTGAGTTGCTTAGAGCCTTGCTAAATTTCCCAACCTGGCTTCACACTTGCAATCCTCCTGCCTCAGCCTTCCCAGTCACTGGGATTACAGGCATGCACCCCTCCCACCCTCCAGCCGTTCCTGAAGAGCTTAAGAAAGTCTCTCAGAATTATTCACCTCAAGAATAGAAGCTTGGGTTTTTATTCACCGATTCCTCTCCCTGTTGGTGGAAGCTCCTCCCACAGGACACCAAGCCTGCTCTTCTGGCCTGTGCACATGCTGGAGCCCAGAGAACTCCTAGAGCATTAGAGAAGGGCAGGGAGAAAACAGACACAAGATGCACAGCCGAGGCAAATGCTATTGGCACAGATGAGCTGAGCTCACACACGATCATCCGTTGAAGCCAGAGCTGAAGTCAGAGGGACAAGGGGAATGTGATGTGCATTCCAGAAGCATCTGGTATAGAAGGTTATTGCAATATTCCTGACAAAATATGCCTGGGAGATAAGAGAAGTGGAGCTGGGGAGAAGTGACGGGTTTTATACACCTTGTGTAGAGCCCAGAGAATGGTATGGAAAATGTCAGAGAGGTAGAGACATTGGGGACAACTCCCAGGTTTCTGACCCAAGTAACTGGAGGCATGAAATTGCCATTTACTTAAATAAGGCAGTCTGTGGGAATAGGAGGTGTGGAGGGGGAAAAGCTAAGAGTTCTGCTTTGTTCATGTTCTATTTGAGATCCCTGTTAACATTTGAGAATAGATGTGGTGGTGGTAGTTGTGTATAAGAGTCAGAAGTTCAAGGGAGAGATCATGCCAGGAGATATAAATTGGAACAGATAAGACCAGATGGGATCCCCTAAGGAGTGAATGTGAAGAGAATGGTCATGAGGACAGAGCTCCAGATACTCCAAAGTTTACAGATTGGGGATATAAGGTTTATTTCCACTGTCTTCTCCCTGTCTATATACTGTAGCTTTCTAATCTCCACCCAGTCAGCTAACAAATCATTTTTCAGCATTTGCTATACTAGGTCCTGCACTGGGAACACAGTGAAAGAAAATCAAGGAGCTTTCATCCAAGTGGGGAAAGACAGAGATGTTACCAAGCTAGGTAATAAGTAAACGAGGAGTTCTGTTCAGAGTTCAAATCCAGACATAGCTTATAAAACTATGGTTCTGGAATTGGGGTGCCCCTATCATCATCTATACTAGCAAAACGGCTGAGGCTGGTTGGATGAACTTGATCCAGGACCAAGCAGTGACGGAAGATGGGAAGGCTGAGTTTTCATTTTTGGCCTTGCTAGGAGGGGCTTACAAAGGAGCAAGCACTGAGCAAGTCAAGTCATGATGCCTGCCACACAGGCTGATCACTGATTTCTGTGTCGCCCAGGAGATGAAGGGGTGATGCAGGAGTCCTGCAGAGAGGGGAGTTAAGGATGTTCTCTTGAAAGAGGCATTCAGGCAGCTCCTCGATATCCACTCCATTACAAATGATGCGTTTAAACAAATTAATCAACAGTGATCTCATTCCCTCTATTCACCTCAAGAATAGAAGATTGGGTTTTTATTCACCGATTCCTCTCCCTGTTGGTGGAAGCGACTCTCTCAGGGATGTGCATGCCTACTGGTCACCTGTGTGTGCTCCTCAGCCTCTCCTAGCCCA